ATTAAAAGAATCAGTTTGACAAATTGGTGTTGTGAGATTTTTTTTTATTGTGTCCAGATACAATTGTACCGTCATCTGAGTGATAGAATGTTGCTACAAAAACCAGAACTTACTGAAAGACCGAGGTTTAAAAAAACAGTAAAATCAGAGAAAAGCACGTTGGACACATTTCATCCCAAAGATTTTGTTCTGAAATGTTCTTGAATTTTTTCGAAACATGACAGTTTTTTATGTTGATATTGTGTAAAGTCCAGATTTGAAATAACTGTTGCAGCGCTGTTGGAAAAGTGCGGGCAACACATATATTTTCGAACAGGGGCTGTCCAGTGTAAGTTCTCATTCTATCGCGAAATAAATGGAAACCTCTATAAATTTGTTTAAATCTATAGATCCAACAAATTGCCAAGGATATCAGCAATTGCTTTAATTACGACTAAATGCTGTAAATAATTTTAATAGTTACAGCCGACTCCAAAAGAACAACTGGATACGGAGAGAATCGCGAAACAAACAATATTCTATGCGAAGCAACTTGAAATGATTGTATAAATAGGAGAGAATTGAGAATGAATGATTTTTCTTTGAATAAATCTATTTGTTGCTGTTACTGACAAACAAGAAATTAGTTTTACTTTCTTCGCTTGATTCAGTTATCAAGACCACGATAGTTTTTTTGATACAGGTTAACTGTAGTGGTGCAGCCTGTGACTACATGCACTGATATTCATGACTTTTTTGCAGGGAATTATCTATTTGAAACATGAGATCATTACTTCTCATCGCCAGCTAGGTTTTCGATATCTTGGTAGTATGACATTAGTGCCATAGTTTTTCGATTTTTACGAATTGTTTAAAAACAATTTCCTTGGTGCTTCCATGCTGCTTACATGATGTTGGAATGTCTAAGGGAATTCTTGAAGAATTTTGTTAGGCAAAGGAAATGGTATAAAACAGTTTGGGCCTTTCAATACGAGCAAAACAGTTTGTTCGCCTTCCACTAATGAGACGTTTAAAATATTTGGGCGACGTAGCAATAAATTCCACGCGTTCATATTAATTTTAGTGCCCGGAGGAAGGGCATTTACGGGATTCCAGCTGCTAAATTTAAGAGATACACTGATGAGGAATGCCAAACATTACCTGAGGATGTGTTGCTTCGAAGATGAGAACTGCTTTTAGCATTTAATCTCATCCTAAGCGGAAACACCTGGGGAACACTGCTACGGACTTTTTAAATATTGTGCCATTACTGATTAAGATTTCGTAAACCCGTAACAGTGTTTTGAATATAGAAATCATGCAGCGAAGTCTAAACAACACCAGAGATCATAGATTTTTTGTTGAGGCAGAATATAAATAGGTTGATGGATTAATTATTTATCATTTCTTAAACTTAGTAAAACAACTATTGGTGTGATATTAATTGTAGTGATATAGTCGTTCGCTAGCCGTGTCTTAGAGTCATAAAGGACAGAGGTGAATAGATATTCGCAGAGATAACAATGTCTATAAAGCGGAAAAAGTTCGGTTTGTAGTCTTTGTTTTAAATGTCCACTGTTTCATCTATAATTTCTTACTTATTTTGATTAGAATAAACAAATGAGTTAAAAAGGAAACGTTATCAACAATAAAAGCAGAGACTGTTGAGAATGAGTGGAAATATTTTGGACTTTTGATAAAAAAGGAATAGTTTAGGAGATGATTGGGATGATATAGACATCGATGAGGAGGATGAAAAACACATTGAGGAGCTGGAGGAACAATCCATGGAGGAACGATTACAACTTAAAAAGATACAGGTAAGTTCATGGGGAGCATTCAAGCAATGTGTTACACGTTTCAAGTCTCAGTTTTTTTAAATGCTAAAAGCTGAGATATCTCTATGTGCTAAAATCGCCATCTAAAATAACGACCTGAGCACACAAATAAACCCAAGACAATTCTATCCAGTGTCATATTATGTTATATTATGGTTTGAACCTGTTTAAGCGTTTCACTAGAAATTTTGCCTTTTTTCCGTAAAAAGGAGATGGAGAAGAGAGAACAGGAAAGAAGGAAACGAGAAAAAGAGAAGGAGAAACAGCGCAAGTCACCCGCGAAGAGACCGAAGCTACCAATTGGTGTCCTTATCAATACTGACAGAAGCAGGTCTTCCTACCTAACCTAACTAGTTAGGAATAACTTTACCTAACCTTTCGATTAAGGGATCCACGTAACTATCCTATATTCTATTCCGTTTTTATGGTATCAAATATTCTACCCGTAACTTCATCTCCCAAAACATTGGGTAGAGTTTCTTATAAGTCCCTTCTGTCGGTTTTCAGGATTGCATCTTCGCAGTATTTCCAAAATGTTCGTTAAAGCTTGTTTAATACTTTCAACTACATAGGCAAAGGATATAATCTGTGCTGCGTTTTTGGCACAAGCATCATTTAGGAATTATGATTGGGAAGCAAATTTTCCGATGTTTGAGTGAAATCAATAATTGGTTGCTTGACTGAGAGGTACCAAACAGTCAAAAAACAGTGCGTAATTTAAAAAAAAAAAAAAATATGTTTCTTCTTTGGAAGTAAAGCAACAACCATTCTGATAGTTTCAAAGACTTCTATTTTTTTTTTAGGTATGAAGTCCTTGAATTATTGGGTGCTGGAGGTTTTGGAGACGTTTACAAAGTACGGCAAAAGGATGGGGCTGGAAGAGATGATGATACCTTTGCTTTGAAAACTGAAACAAATACCTCAGGAAAGACACTCAATCGACTGAAAGTAAATCCCTCAATTATTTTCGGAGATAGTATCTGTGAAGACTTGCAGAAGCGACTATTTTGCTAGTTTCGAAGATGGAGAGTATTCATTGTCTCATTGATTTATTTATCACTAAAGAACTGTTCATTATTATGCGGAAAACTCTTTTAATACTAATTCCCCTTCTGTTAATTCTTTTCATCTTCCCGTTTTCCGACCCATTTGCTACTATTCACAGTCAACTATGACCAACGTTGCTCTTTCTGCTAGAGTTCAACCCTCGAAGCTATTACGAAGACTTTTGCTTCACGAAATTCCCAGAAAAGTAGTCTAAATTAAGCAGCGGAAGATTTGAAACATTTCTTTGCTTTATAAACAGATGGAGATGACTATTTTGCAAGAATGTGAAAGTCTGCCGGAGGAGAAACGGAAGCATTTTATCAAAATGACTGATAGAGGTAAGACTTATTACAGTTAGTGATCAGTGTTATCACTAGTCTGAATCACTGAGGTGTCTGATGCATTCAGCAATACTGAGAAGAAGTTCATGAGGCCATGGTAATGGCGCTCTTAACATGCATTAGGAGAAAGTGTTTGGCAAATCAGTGGAAGGAAATAATAATGAAACGAAATGTATTTTCTTACTTATATATCTCATTCATCCACCAAATGTATTCTATTTTTTTTTGGCCAGGACGGACAGAATCATTCAAATTCATTGTGATGCAATTGGTGGGTATTAGCGTTGATAAACTTCAAAAACAACAACCTAAAAAACACTTCACGTTTGTCTTCTTATGCTTTCTTCTTCTCACGATTATCTCAAATAGCCGAATTCTTTGAGGCATTTTAACTGCCACAAACACTTCCAATTCCTTATCATAGTTCCCCTCCTTCTTTCGCTCTTGTCTACAACGCCCCAAAATCTCAAGCCGCTCGCATACCGTTTTTTTTTTTCGCCTGATTAGTGTTTGATTGATCCTAGAGTTACATGCGAAAACCGATCATAAACGTGATTGAATAGTACGGTAAAACTATTCAATATTATTTAGACTCTCGACCACCATAAAATTGAGTCTTCAAACTTTGGAAGGAATAGAAAATTTGCATGATCTTGGCTATCTACATCGAGACATTAAACCACAGAACTTCTCGATTGGTTTAAAAGAAAAAGCCAATGTTGTCTACGTGCTCGACTTTGGTATTGCACGCCGATATATCGAAAAAGATAGCAAAGCGATCAGGTTAGATTACATCAGTTTAATACTGTTGGATGAACATCGTTCGATTACATATCTTTATATCACTTATTTTCCGGTGATTAGCCTAATTTCATTCATTGTGTAATATAATAGGTTTACTAGCTACGATTTAAAATATTTCTGAAGAGTGGGATAATTTCAATCTTGGCCAAAAGATGACAGTGGTATTCAACATCTTGAGGTTACCTCGGAAAATGGTACGATTTCTCGGTACAATACGATTTGCATCACGAAACTGTCATCATTCACGCGAACAATGCCGAAGAGATGACCTTGAATCATGGGTATACATGTTGATCGAGTTCACGGAGTACGCATCATTGCCTTGGTCGAAGATGGTTGATCGTCACACTGTTTGCAGGGAAAAGGAACGACTTTTTGCTGGCTCATGTTTGTTTATTTCTTTTCCCTGGACGTGATGCTATCAAAAACTTCAAACTTGAAGTTTTGTAAATTAAGGAAATCGTTAGTTGCTAGCAATAAGTAGAAATATGCAAGTATATAAATCTTTAATTATTGTAACGGGGGAAACACTGAATGGACCTTTGTCTCGGGTCAAGTGGATGTTTGAGGAATCAGCTAAAAGTTGACTTCTAGTCCTCGATTTCCAGTCTTGCTCTTGTCAAAATAAGCCTTTGATTTTAGTGTGTTAATTTTTAGATACGAAACACATAGCAAGCTTACCAGAGGAAATACATAAGATTTTGAAATATATCAACGAGCTGAATTTCCAAAATACACCAGACTATGAGTACATAGCAACGATGTTGAAGCGAGCAGCAGCACGAAGACATGTCAGTATTACCGTCAAATTCGACTGGGAAGAGTCCGAGGTCTCTCGTAATTCAATTCCTTTGCACGGGAATACTATGAAATACTGAATAGCTCAACCAAAGGTAAAGTAAACAGAATGGTTTGAGGAATGGCACAGTCGGAATATCTCATAAGGACATTTTTCGTATGACAGCCGTGCCTACATCACGTATTAGAAGTACTTCACACTGAATGATCAGACAATTGCTGTGTCAAGAAAGTGGTGCTTGGCTAATGCGTAATGTTATTTTGAATTAACGGATATGCACGTCATGTAGCATTGAACTGTGATTTTGTGGCATCTTGACGTTGGTTTCAATTATCAGTTCTTTTCGGAAATTTGTTCGCAGTTTTGACGCATCCGACAAAAGGTTCTCAGTTGGGGAAGACCTGTTGGTCAGACAAACATTCCCGGTCGGAAGAGTTTGGAATTAAGTAAAAATTTATTGATAGCCAATTTATGGTCAATTTTGTAGAATAGCACGTCTAGAAAAATTTCCGAATAGCTGGAAAATTGCTTATGTAGAATAACACTGTAGAGCGAAAGGCATGCTGATAAGAAAATGGTTAGCAGTGATGATAAATGCAAAATTCGAAACGAGAAATCGGAAGGCCGCAAGTCAAAGAACACCTAGTGAGAGCTAAAAGAAATCATACGGATTCCAAATTCAAGTTTTGGTTTGGTTTGCAACATAAAACTTATCTCTACCAATGCGATGAATTTTTGTCTGATAAACTTCTGGTACTACCGCTTGGTTGCAAGTAGTGAAAATATGAAGCATATTTTGAGCTATATTTGCAACCTGCTGAATTAGTAATGTTGATATATCTGCCACTCAACTGTGAACATTTCAAAATTTTGTTTCAGGTACACGATCTCGAAGAATAAGAATCATAAATGTAAAGAAAACGCATATATTAATTTTATTTTGCTTTGTGTTATTATAAACAAATCCACAAATTATGCACAAACATATGTGGTGGAAAAGTTGACGCCGGAAATAAGGCTTTTTAAATGATGTTTGGCTTTGGTAATTTACAAGAAGACTTCGTCGATCTTTAGACAAGACTGACGCGTAACCTTTGAGTGTTATTAAAGTATTTTATACGGTCGACCCAGAATCATAGTCGCTAGAATTAGCCTAGTCACAAACTTCGTCATCTCGTGATTTAAATTTATTTGCCAACCAACTGACTTTATTCACAACCTGAAATTCACAGTGAATTGTTATTCGAACATCCAATAAGGTCAACTCACAAATCCATTCCAAATTTTTCACTTCACCTAACTTCTCTAAAGTTAGCTGTGACTTTACAATTCAAAATGACCTCTTCTTGTGCTAGATTGAAGCACATCGCTAGCAATGCCATCCCAAATAAAAGATAAACTGAAGTTATCACAAGCTTTTTCTGTGCATCCTTATCGTTCCCCACTGAAGCACCAGGAAATTTGTCACCAAATCCTGGATAAGTCGATGCTTGAGATAAAGACGGAAAAGATTTGTGTAATGATTTGAATCATAAAGAGACAAAATTTAAGTTTAATTTACGAAGATCTTGAGGGACCCTTAAAAGTTTCCAGAGAAAGCTTTGGAAGTTTTTGCATGGAAAAAAAAGTTAAAAAAGTAAAGTTCGAAAAAAGTTCAAAATAAAGTTCAGAAAATGCACATTTTCTGGAAAGTTTCAGCCAAAAAGTTTAAGAAAGTCCGAAATATTTTCCTCAGTCATATACGGTATGAGGTCTTTGAACGCTTTATGGTCTTCCAATAAGCTTAGAAAAATTCTATCATAGATTTCAAAGATTCGAAAAGTTTGAAAAAGATAAAGTACCAATAGTAGTCAAGGAAATGTAACAAAAGTAGAAACTGTCGAGGAATGTCCATCCTTCCCAGAGACAGAACAATACCGAACCAGCCACCAGATAAGCGAACATTGTGAAGAATACCAAACTTAGTGGTACAGAAATACGTTGTAGCTGTGCTTCCACGCTCTCCTTCACCTTAACTTATCATTTATCTCATTATTTGATTTCACAGTTTCTCTTGTTCCAGAAATTTCAAAACTTCGAATATCTGTTTGCTGTTTAAGTCTGAGTTATCTAAGCATGCTCCTCATTGGTCTTCTTTTTTAAATGACGTATTCATTTTTCGATCAGTTCTGAGATCACAAACAATCTTTTTTCACCACGGCCATCCTGGTTGTATTCCAGTGGTTACTACTTGTAGAAAAAAAAGTGGCAAGGCGATTACTTCAAGTTGTTCGATCTGTGCACGAGCTGTTAGCAAATCTTGTACATTGGAGCTAAGCCGAAACGAATTTCCGGACAACTCCGTATTTATATCCTGCAGCATTATGAAATAAGTGTCTGCTATTTATGGAATTATAGATGTGCAGAAGTTGTTAACAGAACTTTTCGTTCAACATTTAAATCAACTTGCCCGGGCCAATCGAGAAACAAGAGAGTTGACATGGCGCAATTCCGCAGCTTTGCGCCGTTTGTGCCATAAAATAAGGCGATATTTGAGTCGCACTGAACGTGCATAGAGAAATCGGAAAATTTTTGCCATAACATCGCCGATATTCGTTAAGAAAAGTAACATTAAAGGTATACCTGAAGAGAACGTTCAGTTAGACTTCAATGAAAATTGGGGAGCCATAAGAAAGAGGACAAGTGACGACGTACCGATAATTGCGAATAAAATGGTTAGTGTTTTGCCGAAATATGTTTTAGCAGATGTATTACCATAGCCGATAGTTGTTATGACTGTTAACGAGTAAAGGAAGGATCCAGTGAATGTCCACTGAGCCGATAAACCATATTCCTGCAATTTTCTTACTAGCTTAAAGTAATTTTTGAACAGCACTGGTTTCAAAACAGTAAATAGTATGTTCGGTATCACGAGCTTGCCCATTTGATGCCAAGTATTGTGAACGACAAAGTATGTTCTCTTATTGGCCGTTATGTGGAACTTCAGAATGGTTCGATTTTGCTCACTGGATAAATTGTTACATTAGATCTAATCTAGAAAAATGTCTATTTCATGAATTAAATATCATCTGAGTTAATGATATTTCAGATTGAGTTTATTAATGCAGAAATCACTGCTCAATTCCGAATATCAACAAGCTCAATCTGCAAACTTGTCTTGTTTTTAGTCAAAGGTTTACTAGATTCAAGTTCGAGTTAATTAACTCGAAAAGATGATAATGTCAACGAAATTTAGTGATAGGGTTCACCAACCTTTCCGTCATAACCACGTTTGATTGCCCACATACACTTGCGCTGGAATCGTCGCACTTGAGCGTGAACTGTACGTTCCCATTGTGCACGATCCAATTTGTTGACCCTAAGTTGTTATTTCCTTGAATTCCAAATTCAATGACAGAAAAGTTTCAATGTTTGGTACAGTGATCTTGAAAAATAGGCCCGTAAATCGTTGCCGTTAGATCAGATCATCAACGTCACTTCTTTGATCAAACTATTGCATCGGTATCTGTAAGATGCTTCCGTAGCTACACTATAAAAATTATTATGCCTCGGTGGGTAAGATGCAATGACAAATACCTAAAAGTAGCATTCCAGGCGATATTGACAGCTTTTTGTCTCGCTGTTGTTACTTGGCCTTGTATGAACGTTTCATGTGGTCCTTCTACTGCTCGAAACACAACTGCACCAAGCAGCGCGTAACCAATGACCTAAATTGCTAAGCGTAATATCATAATGACCAGAACTGCATATATATCTGGTATCAGTGTCGAACTTGATCGAAATTTATGTCCCGGATAAGCCTTACGCAATCCTGGCTATTAAATCATTCTGTTCCATGCGTATATGAACTTCTTCCTTCTTCGTTGATAAGAAATATAAAAATATATGGTGGAACACTTCGATACTAACCAGCGCACACAATCCAACATGAGAAAAAAGAATGCGATGATCCGTTTGATAAGGTTGATCACTCGAGTGACCTTCGATCTCCGATGATTTCTTCGTGTCATAGATAATACGAGGACCAATAAATGCTTCAGTTTTTCACCACAGTTAATCCGTTAACGAACTGGACTAAAATGGGAGAAGCTGACTGATTACTGGGCCGGAAGAAAATGAAAACGAAGAAATCTTTTCTTTATTCATCAACGAAAGTGGCCTATGCGCTTGGAAATGGGCAAGAATGTGTCTGGCCCTGATCGAGTGCGAGCAAATGGAAGAGCAGACAGCAAAATCTTGATCTGGAAGATGTCGTCTCTAAGGTCTTCTTCCTCTTTCTCTAAGCCTACGAAAATCCCATCCCTCAATTACCGCTATGGCCAATATCATTGTGGCGGGTTTTCACGAACGAAGATTGGGAAAGGCTTGCTTCAGCCACGCTTGCTCCAAACGCTGCAAATGTGGGTGCATCCTTCCCAGCTTGCCTGCACAGTGAATTTTTTAATGAGGCACAGCCTGCGTGGAACTGGTTCTATCCTTCACTCCTAAGCTTCATCTACCAAAACCTAGCGAGCTTTGACGATGACAGTGAAGTTCTCACGATGTAGATTTTGTGAGAATATTTTTCTCTTAGATCAGTGGTCCCCGACCAGGTACCAGGTACCACTTTCGCTTTTTTATTTGTAGCAGGAACCACCAAATTTTATTGATTTTGAAAATAAACATTAATCAAAGCTTTTGATGCATTAGTTTATCAAACATTAATAAGAAAACTCCCTACTCACTAGGTCGTTGCCCTTGCGGACCATATTTTAGTTCTCCCACCCGTTGGGAACTACTATCTCAGATGGATGGCCTTATAGGGCTAAACGAGCTCCACCTGCCGGTTTGGAGCTAGAGTTGTTTTTCTCTAAGATAGTTGCAGACAGGCTAACGAGCCCACCCTGCCGATGGATATGCTTTGTCTGACCCTTCAATTGAGACATGTTTGGTATGGAAGGCTTTATCGGAAGTATATACCGTTCCCATCATAGCTCGCAATCTCATTAGGTATCACTGCAATGATCCTGTCAACAGACAAATAGGCACACATATGCGCATATGCATGCACATATATGCATGCGATGACGAACATTTTTATCTAAATCAGTGAGCTCGGAAATCTAAATCCTTTAGGGATTAACTTTGAATAGGACAAAGGTCATCAGAATATATATTTCCTACGTTTCAAATCTGAATTTGCGGTGGAATTCTCTCGAAAGGAATATTTCTATATTAGCTCGATACCAGCAACAGAAGAAGATATTTCGGCGCATATTACATTGCTTCTGTTTATCTGTGGTATTGTCATTTGAAATTCTGGTTCTGCCAGTCAAGTATGCCAGGAAGGATTTCTTGTGTGAAAAGGGTAGTACAAGCAAATAAGCTTAAGTCTGAAGATGGGATGGATCTTTGTGGATGACAAATGGGTAGATAATCGATGTTCCTTTCTTTTCCCTTAGCAAAAAGCTCTCTGATAAAGGGACACAGTATTTAGCCGTTTTGTTGTAAGTGACAACTGTCGCAAATTCCGATTCGCGAGACTCCAACCATACCTCAAACAAACAAATAAATAATCAAATAAATTTCTTGTAAATGAATGTTCCAAATGTTGTGAATCATTTAGCAAATTTGTATTCCTTAGATTTATTTCCCGTTTCAATCCCCATATTTTTCTTTTATGTCTAAGGACATTTCCTTTATGTCTTTGTTTAGAAATGCCTTTGTTAGCAATTGCTTAAAATATCTATCCAAATTCACATCTTAAACATCTCCTGTTCCCCCAAAAAATTCACATCCTTATCTTCTCGTTCGATCTCCTAAGATGCTTAATACTGTAATTGAACGTTACAGTTTTCAGTGTAATGATAGCAAAACCACTCCCACTTTTTCCATATATAAGCTGTATTGAGTGGACGAAAGAGGTTCTTTTCGACGATCAGTTCTTCATTATTCTGGATCAGTTTGGATTATTCTTTTTTCTCATCATTATCAGCAGTATTTGTCGTTTTTGTGACCTTACCCTTGACAAGTAAAGAATCAACTCTTGCCTTTGTCCACAACGTACGACACACGTACATCATCCACATCGAACTTGGTGCAGCTAATACTTCAAGTAACCTCAATTCTTCTCCTCTACAACCAACGTGTAAAAAAATCCCCTGCTTGTTTCCAACTATTGACTGACCGCAAAATACTTCAGCAAAAATCCACAACAACAGTGATTTTTTTTTTTGATCGAATGGATCGCACACAAATCAATTTTCTTTAGAAAAATCAAAAAGAAAAAGTAACTAAGAGTAAAAATTGGACTGGTGACAAAAACTTGGGACTGATGGCACCAAACAGTTCCGTGTTGCTATATATGAAGAATTCTTCCGGGAGGATTTGAAACGGGAAAAGAAAGGGACATTGGAGCAAATGAAGTGAAATATTGCAGATTAATGAATGAGTTAGAAACCAGTACAATGTGGTGCCTAACAAGCCTTTTGCCCCTTTGCTATTACCATACTTCATGTTTTTCAGCTTTTTAAATGTCCGTTGCAGTAATGAATCAATTAACCACTCGATGAAGCATTATTCTAGCACAAGAACCATACATTTGGAACATTTAGGAAAAATGATTAAGTCGATTCCATTCAATCAGTTCGATTCTAATCGTGAAAGGAAAGAATCAGTTTACTTTGGTAGTGATAAGTGTCCAAGACGAAAAAGTCATACCTTAATAGGGTGTGTTGAAGTAACCATTCACGAGATACCAAGTCGCACGTTAAAAAAATGTTCTCACGTATCACAAAACATTCGAACTAAAATATTAATGGAATGAATTTTATTCCCTATAAAATTCATTGTGATTGCGTCTTTTTTTCATCAAAACTTTTTTCAAACTACAATTTTTATTATACCTTTCTTTTGAAGTTTATTTTCCGGAAATTAGAAATTTTAGGCATTTACTTGCCCTTTTTACGCACTCATTCATTTTCTTTTTATTTTATTGCCAACTTCTGGTTTTCCCCGCTTGCACTTCTGGTGTTTTAGAAACATTTTAATCTGAACAACTGAATTTAAATTGTTTTGTCATTGTGATCAATGTTATACTCCATATCACAGGACTTGAAGTCAAAAACAAAGTTCAAGATGGTTGGAAAATGTGGATATACTTTTTTGAGTACTGTAGTCTCAAACTAATCCATTATGGAATTTCAAACGGGAGAAGTATCAGTTCTTCTGTATCCCCCACAAAGTTATCGGTTAACATCTAATTGCTTGGAAAAGTATTCTTATACTTATTTCAGAGAAGGTAGAAACTTGAGGAAGTTTAAGAACAAATATCTTCTGGGGAAGGGAAGTTAAACTGATGCAAAGCAGAGCGATAAGTAACTGAATAAATAGATTAGTGGACTAAATTCACTGCTTATCTCGAAAAAGAAAAAATGAATTCATACTTAATAAATAGTTAAGGACTTAAAATAGTACAGAAATCTAGAAAAATAGTCTTTCTTAAAGGAAAATATCGGAATGTTGTTGATGTAAACAAATACCTCCAGGTTAGGACATCGTCCAATTTCAAGTATTTCTTTTTAAATAGAAATGTCAATTTGGCCAATCAACTTGCCAATGTTAACTTCTGATAAACTGTTTTGCACTGGCGAAGATTGTCAGAAGTAGGATCCAGTAAGGGCAAGATGGATACTTTAACTGCAAAGCTAGTTTTTCGATGTGTTTCAATTGGAAAAAGCACCGATCGTAGCATCGCTAAAATTTGTCAAAAATCGCTTGGTAAACAAAACATCGTCATTTATTCGACTGCATAAAATTGTTATACAAGTAAAATGTATATTACACTTACGGATCGGTTGGTCATTCATTCATATCATATTTTTAAGTAAATTTAATAATTTGCTACTGGGTAATTCTGTACTACTCAAGTATATGAGATAAGCTAAAAATAATTATTTGCATAATTCATTGTTTTATTAAAAGGTTACTTTATTCTAGCAGAGTGAAAGGTTCAACTAAAGAATTTTTCGATCTCTTTTCCTCTTCCGCTATTTCCCACTGTTTTAATCCAAGAGTTATGCGTTAGAATTACTAAACTATGGTTAATAAAGCTATCATTATCTACTGAGCATAATTTCAGAAGTATGGCAAGAATCTGGTTATTCCTCTTCTTGTTCTGCATTTCAACAACCTCAGCAATAATAGTTTTGTCAGAACAAATTCCATACTGGGCTGGAGGTACTTCAATTAATTCACCGTTTGGAAACAGATTACTTGAAACTGATCAACAGCTAAGCAACTTGGGACTCCTCAGCCCAGGTAATCTTGCTGGCCCTGGTTTGGGGAATTTAAGTTTCGGTGGCCTTCAAGGTCTCAATGGTCTCCAAGGTCTCAGTGATTTGCAAGGTTTCGGGGGCTTGCAAGTAATCCAAATACCACTTGGTAGTGCTGTCAACAGCAATATCTCACCCTGCGCGCCGTGCATAATTTGCTCACCGCAAAGTGCGTCAATAAGTAGGTTTATTTCCGCATTTCGAACTATTTATTTGAAGGAACATTATTTTAATTGAAAAATGATGTCCATGCATGATTCTATCAACACTACTTGCAGATTGTATACCCATACCAAAACCGGCACCTATACCACTCAGTGGCCAGTTTTGCTGCTGTTGCACATCTGTAACTGGATCGACAGTTGGGACCTTGAACAGAAGGAAGTAATTCAGGCTCTGCAGAACAGAAAGAGCTGTTTCAGATGTCAAAACCATTGACTGTATATAATATATTCGATAATTTTTCTAATATTTATGTTTGACAACTCTTACACCAAAAGACCCATAAGATATCGTCCAAACATCCATAACTTATTCGAAGAAGTAAAGAATGACAGAAGAGCGATGCGTTCTATGATCACTACCGCTAATATTCCCAAGATTTAGTGCAAAAGATTGAATTAAGCAAGTTTGGGAAAGTCTTCGTCATCTTCTATATTACAATACATTTACAATATATTGCAATTGTAAACATCTAAATAAAGCTTTTTTTTGAAAAGAAATTTCAGCAGAAATATCAAAATTTTTGAAACATTTTTGTTCTGTTTGCTACCAAATTTATAATGCAGTGTTCACATCCGTGGTACTGTAACAATATCTCTTCTTTCAGTTAATATTACAAACATTACTCATATGGCTTAAAGATGACTCTCATCACTTGTGGAGATATTTTTTGTGATGCAAAACAAGCTTACTGATTGAACGTATGTCGTACTAGAGCATAAGAATGCTAGAGGAAGCAAATTCGGATAAAATCCGAAACTAAGGATCCAAAACATAAGCCTTATTATCTAATTTAAAAGAGTAATAATGAAGTGGAAATAGTTAAGAATGTAATTACACAATGACTATAGTTCCCAAAAACTACGATGATCAGAATCGGCACATCCAAAGAAAGTTGGTGCTTTCTAGTCATGTAAGATAAACTTACCGATGAGTCGCATAAGGATACTTTTGTTCAAAAAAAAAAATTTCAAAACGTTTCTAGAGTCGAAAAACCGTACGTCAAACGTTGCTTGCATGATTAATTTAAAGAAACCAAAAAAAAATTCTGCACTCTTGGTATTTTCCTCGAAATTCCAAAATTCAGATTATTATAATCCATTGCAATCTTTTAAAATTAAGTTTTTGAAAAGTCAGATTTTTTACTCAAACTAGTACATTCTAAGGATAGTCAATCGTCTACTTGGTGCACTTGTTATTCATCCTTCCCACCCTAGTCAGATCCTCAACGGTACAATTAACTGATTAAATAACATATATGCATATGATGGAATAAGAAGAGCACAGCTTTACTCTTTGCTACTTCTTTATGGTCGCTATGACAAAATATGCACACCAATAGGATGTAAGGCACGCTTTGTTAACCGAACTTGATTCAGAAGTTCTTTACTGATAATGAGTTTAACGGATTTATTTTTGGCTGGAAAATGTTGACGTTGAAAATGAAATTCTGCAATTAGCGTTAATGCAGTATCTGCAATCTGCGGGTTTCAGAGCTCCCAAACCAAGATACGCTTGAGATTACTTAAATCAAATTGTTAATAAAATAAAATGAAAAATAATTATTGAAAGGTGTTTAGTCCACAAGTTCACATAAATATATATTACTTCAGGTAAATCACCCACAAATCTGAAAAAACCAGAAGTTATCTCTCTCTCCAGTTTTTCTCGAACTCTCGAGATTCATTTCGTGAGGCAAAAATGTAGCAATGCTGTAAGCAATGAGTTAGTAACCAGTGGTTCACCCATTTCAAATAACGAAATCTCGGCGGGAGCCTAAAAAAAAACTTTTCTAAATCACATGAAGGAGAATAAACTTCTGACAATCAATAAATAAATTCGTAACAGGAAAAGTGATAGATCTTTTTCCTTGTTTTCTTTTGCTGCTTTCATTGCTCTTACAATGTTTGGTTTCTTCTGCGAGAAATAGGTTTACTGTGACACTTTCCCTTTCACCTTCTTAAGTCACTGTTTCATTTCCTATAAAAATCGAACAAATATTGCGTTACTAAAAATATTTGCGGAAACAGCTAAATTAAGGATTAAAAGTGCTTGAATTGGGAGATACCATGTTTTCGTCTTAGCGCAAATATAATTTGTTAAGCGCAAATATAATTTGTTACACATGCATGGTGGATTAGTCTTGTAGATCAAACTTACAAATTAAATAGAAAGTGGAAATAAAATGGAAGTAAAAACTGGGTATTTCGTCTTATTACTTTTATTTCAGGTTTTAATCGTCTTACTTTGGGAAGTATTTCTTGTTTGAAATAAAAAGTAACAAAACTAACACTGATGACGAATTCTTGTGGGACAATTCAATTGCAACTATTTTCGTTCGAAACCGGTCGCGAATATACAATGAAGGCCCTGGAATTCTCAGCTATTCAATTGATGCACGTCACAAACGATACTAAAAAGCAGCCTTTGTTACGGCCAGCTGCTATAGAACTTAAGCGAAAAAAGAGCCAGAACATCTGCCAATTCTTTGGGAGATGCGACTAATAGAAGTAGGATTCACACCGTTATGAAAAAGGAATAAATCCTCTGTATTAGCTGAAAGTGAAGCTGTACTTGAAAAGGATTACATGAACTTGATCCGATTCTTCCTCTTGCAATGAATTGCTGATTATTTGATTCATTATTATCGTTTGAAATATGAATAGTCTTTGCAGATCGATTGTTTATCAGTCAAAGTTCAAGTTATGTATTATCATATTTCAAGATACGTATTGGAGAACTCTGAGGACCGCAACGGCATAATTATGTAGCCGATTAATTTGCTACCTACTTTTTTAGCCACAATTATTTCGCAAACAAAGAAATTTGATTCAGAATTTGTAGAATAACAGAGAATCTGCAAGAAAAAGAAAATCGACTGAATAACTAAGTTTGAAATTGGACTTGTCGGTACAGTCTCAGTCTAGATTTCATATTTCATGATGCCGGAAGTTATTATTCTACTGAAAGAATCGAAAAAGAAGAAAAATGAAGAAACTATCAGTCGGAAATAGTGAAGATAAGTAAGTTAACATTTCAGATGACCGAAAGCAAACAAACTGATAAGAAATAAGCATCACCGCATAAATTCTCAAAGCAACCGCTCGTTTGTTGTGGAAAACCATAAATATTAATTTTACATCAAATTTTGTTGTTCCTTACCGGGATTACCTGGTGACGTTTAATTATCATCAGCATGAACTATTTTGGATGAATAGGGTCATGGTTCCGAAATACTGAAGTGGTTTCCTAATAGGATTATATCCTGGCCAACAGAGATGCTAATGTCATTTGATATGAAATGCTAGTCATCCCATGGTACCATTGCCGCTAGATAATGTCTGATTTGCAATTTAGATTTCACCTGAAAACAACAATCAATAATAGCAGGACATTTTGTAAACCCATGCAGCACTGATAACAGTCTACAGTGCTTCACATATACCGAGGAATCTTGCACGGAGTCTATTTAAAATGGGCGGGAAAGTGGGCATTTTGAAAAAGTTGAAGTTTTAATGCCCGGTGACGCGGGGATGTGACCTTCTGTCGGTCCACCTTCACCTTCTTTTCATTCTATCTTTCTCTTAGCACATTTACTGCCTGTATTGTTTCATTTGAAATGTTAAACAGCAAGCGACAGTTTAGGATTGCCCAATAACAGATGGCTGATTTCGACAGGTCATTGCTTCAGCAAACTCTTCCGGAATATTACCGGCGACTTTTCCCGTTCGGACCTCTTAGCAAATGGCTAACATATGGAAAAGGTTAGAAAGTTGCCCACTTATTCATTTATCTTTCGTTGAAGAGCATTTGTTTGTTTAAATTTAGAAAGATTTCTTGTATTATTTGCAGAGGAGAAAGACAGATTGAACGTCAATCATTGGACTTGTAACTTTTGCAGATCTGCAAGTCTCATTTCAAATGCGAGAGTTAGCATTCATTTTTGAAGACGATCGGCATGTGCGGTATCGCAGTTTTGAAGACAGTACGGAATTCGAACGAGAGCTGTGCAAAGCAAATCCCCAAAAGATCGATATTGGTGCAGTTTATAACTATAAAGTATATTTGACATATTTTCCTGAGAAACTGAAATTAGTTTGGGAATCTAGCTTGGATATTGGTATTGTTTTGATTAGGAATACTTGATTTTTAGAATAAATTTTTTTCATCCGGACTCTGTGATATTTTTTTTTGCACTTCTATCGTAGGTAGAGCAATCATAGGAACCGACTGGAATACATATCAGTTGAGTAAGTCCGCTGTTGCTGGACAGTAGAAAAGCTTAATTTTGAACAAAATATCTCAATCAATGATAAGATGTGATGTGCAACAATGACAAGACGATAAGATCAATGATAAGATGTGCAACATTTCTCCAACGATAAGAACTTGATTTTAGCCGAAAGATCATAAAAAATTTGCCAATTTTCGTCCAGTTGAACGCGAACTCATTTTTGATATTGATCTAACTGACTATGATGATATCCGGACATGCTGTTCGTAAGTCTTTTACTAGAAAACATGAATTATACATTTTGGAATAATATAATTCCTTACTAGCATGCAGTAGGAACTGATATTATGAAGTGCTAAGTCTTAGTTCACTGATGTATGCTTCTCAATGCTTTTCATTTTGATGTTCGTAAGCACAAATAAGACATCCAACCAAAGAGTTTCCATCAAGAAGTGGAGCTTACTTTGAGTACTTAAATTTCGATGTGATGCTTGATACAGTTATTCTATTTAAAAACGGTTGTTTCAGAAAAGCAAAGATATGTAGGAAATGCTGGAGGTGGATATGCATTGCAGTGGGCGTCTTGGATCATCTGCTGCAAAGTTAGTATTAATTTTGGTGCCTTAAATTTATTTGCTCCCCGAAATATCCGTTTTCATCTTCTCAAGAGCTTTCACCAATTTTTGAAATCTATTTTTAATTCATATGGTCTATTTCCATTTTATCGTTCTTATTGAAGGACATTTCGGTTTCAAGCATTGCTTATGGGTATTCTCTGGTCGCCGCGGTATCCATTGCTGGGTCGCTGATGCTGCTGCACGGAAGCTTCAGAATGCCGGTCGAATGGCAGTTGTCGAGTACCTATCTCTGATTACTGTATGTATAGAGACATATTAGAAACGAACAAATATTTTCTTTAAAAAAATATTTTCATACTAGCAAGCATGAATGCGCTCGCTTTTTTCAATCCAGTTAACATTGCAAATTATAGGGCGGACAGAAAGTTTCAAAAGCAGCGACAAAACGTACGTTCGTTCATCCCATGCTAGAAGACGTGTACAGCTACTTGGTGCAAAGGTCACTTTTAGTACAATTTACATGATTTTTGAAAAATTTCCGACTTTCTAAATCAAACTGAAATTAATAGTTTGTTTTTTCGACTATTTCAGCTCAGATGTAAGCAAACTAATGTTAGAGCAAGGCTGGATGAGCAATAATGGACTGATGTCGTTACTGGATGGTTGTGTAAACGAAGAAGTTGAAAAAGAAATCACAGAGATTATAGATGAAGTGAAAAAGTGAATTTTTTGTGAAATCAAAACAGTATTACTTTGCATAGGCAATTGATAAAAAGTTTTGCAGCAAGTGAATAACTGAAATATAAAATGCACACATATGCAAATATATAATTTATTTTAGTGTTGATTGTTTGGAGAGAAGATGGAATGCTTTACGAATCAAATTTGACAAATATAAACGTGCTGAACTTAAGAAGAATGGAATTGAATTGTGCGAGGTATTAAATTTGAAACTTTATCAAGCAGTAGTAGTGGATTTCGTGATTTGTTATCCACACTCAGTTTTGCCTGCTATTCGAAATACAAATAGTAAAATAAAACTACTCTTTACTGTGTTCTGTGTGAAAAATTTGCAAAAAGTCTTAATATAGGGATTTGTAAAGTATTGTTTCCCGTCACGTTGCTAACAAAAGGTTGGTCCAAGTTTTTCTAACGAAATATATTTGTAAATAAAAAAGAGATTATAGGTAGCCAGTCTTCAGTCATCATTCCATTTCCGTGGTTACGTGTTGCAGCATGCGTATCCTCGTCTTGATGTTCATGTTTCTGTAGGAATAAATCATCTGCTTAAAAGTCCGTTCTGTGTCCATCCTGAAACTGGACTTATAGCCGTACCTATTAAGCCAGATCAAATATCTGATGTGAATTTTGCAAAATTGCCTCGCATAGAGTAAGCGTTTATCTTCCTTAATCTTGATTCTTGATTACTTATGTAAAACTAGACAGTACTTTCCAGATTTCCGTACTCCTTCATGAATGATCCGATTTCTGAAATATTTCAGCACTTTACTACATGAAATTTTGAAATTGCATCAAATTGGCGAAACAAAGAAAGACCGGAGGAATTTCGGTATTTATTTAGCTTTATAATCCTAAAAATTCATGTCGGTTTTGGCATTAAAAGTCTCCAAGTATTTCTTCACTAGGCCTTTGGAAACTTGACTTGTTATGATGCCGGCAGTCGTTTCAGATGAATGATTAAATCAAAAATGCAGAGGAAAAATTTAGTTCATTAGGGAAGGGGGATTAAATGCCAAACTGATTAATAATGAGCTAATATTTTCGTTACACAATTATTTTTATTTTTCTGGCTATCAAAATAATTGTGTTCTTGATAAACTTGAATCTTTTTCAGAAATCAAGCATTGTTCGTTGGGACCATATGTCGAGACGTTTGAAAATTTTGTAAACAATTTGATTTATGATGAGCAACAGCATTCATAATCAACAAATCGGTAGTCAGTTTTATTTACTGCAGCTGTTGAAGAGAACCTTCCATTTGTATGTGAAAATAAAACTATCTGAAATATTTTCAAGTATGAGGCAGTTTGTTGATTGGCGTACTTTATTTCTTTTCATTGATGCCAAGATTTCTATTAGCATTCGTAAAAAAATAAGCAGTTATCAATAATTGAATTATGGAGGCCGAATCAGTGGCAGATTAAAGAATGTTTGATATTGCATTCCTTATTCAGAAGGAATATATGTGACCATTTCAGCAAACAGTTAAGATCGCAGCAATGTGATTAAAAAGGATTTGCAGGAGTTTACGCCTTTAGCTTCAAAAACTTTCACTTTAAATTCTTATTCGTTAGAAAAAATTACCGCAGTTCGAAATTGGGAAAATCGACGAAGTTTCAAGGGTAGTTCGACGGATAAGAAAAAACACGTCATCATGACTGGTAGAAAATATCTAAATTAACAAGGCAACTTTCTACAGAATTAGAAATATTTAAGGCTGTGATCAATAAATACCACAATGTTGCTGCAATTTTCTTTTCCCGAGGAATCTCATGAGATTAATAATTGGAAGTATCAGCAGTTTTCAGTATTCGGGACCATTGGAGGGTAACATAGTGATTCCACTACTCATTTTGTCAAAAATATACGCATTTTCGCGTTTCTTAAATTTTTCATCAAATATGCAACATACGCATCAAATATTTTAGGGAATCACTTCCTCAAAACAATTGTAAACAATAGCTACTTAAAATTCCTTCATTTTATCTTCATAATGAACTAATTCTTTAAATATAAGGCCTAATCCTTAGTGGGATATGGAGAGTGGTAGGTGGGAGTCCTTTCTATATATTCTGTGATGATGAATGTGAGCATTAAAGTTGAAGGTTTAGTCTGTCTCAGTCCAAATTCATCTTTGTCATTCATTCTGAAAAAACTTCGCTCACCCTATCATTGATGCTCGGAGTATAGCTAGGAAGTTAAAAGCTCATAAGTTGGATTGTTTGGAGCGATTATTACTGAATTAGTGCTGTTTTCATGCAAATTTCACACTTTTATAAAATCTGAAGAGTGACCATAAATAAAGAGGTAGTTGAAAGAAGAGAAAAAGGAGGGGGATAATGTGTAGTGAGGTAATAAGGTATGAAACAGCTTGGAATGCAATGCAAGTAAAAAAATTTGTCAGCTGGGATCTTCCTTATTGGCTTCTTTTGAACAAATATCAAAAGGAATTGAACAATTTGATGGCTTTTACAATCAGTCTTTTCGATCTTCTTCCTTTGCTTCATGCATCTCATTTCCATGGACTAATATGACCTCTCACCACTTCCATCCTTTTTCTTATGGATAACTAAAAGGATCGATACTTGAATTCTGACATTTCTAGTTAGCTTAGAATAGTGAGTGTCGACGGCGATAGTTATGGACCTAGACCATATGAGTCGCAATTTCTATTAGTTTTATTTGTTTCTATAAATTTGTGTCTTTTCCTAATACTAGTTAGGAGTGCCATTACTATGACATTCTTCCTAAAGAATGTCACTGTAGTAGCACTTTTAGATAGCATCAGATAAAACTACGCTACCGCCGAGATATATGCATTGAATGACAGCATTACGAAGAGCAATGTTGAAGAAAGGAAACATGACAAATACCTTGTAATTTTGCAACATTTTAACCACAGAAATGAGTGAATTGTCAAAATTGAGCACTTCACAAGGTGAACAGCAATCCCCGTCAACTAAGGCTCTAAGCTATGATACTCAAAAATAAGGTGTCAGCAGGAATTTTATCGAAATATTCTCCCTTTAAGGAAGAATGAACAAATTCACAAAGAAAAACTTTTCTATTTTCATCGTCAACATTTCATGAATTCTCCATCCTCCTTAAATTAGTTGTTGAAAATATTGTCTTAGGTATCAGACTGGAAAAAAACATGAAATTTAGATTGAAATCAGATTAAAACCCATGGTTTTACACACCACTTGAAATAACAGCCAAAAATCCCTGAAAAAAAAATTAAGATCTATCGGAAAGCTGCTCCAGATACCAATACTAGGCATAACTCTCAGTTAATTAATCCCTTCTTGAATATAAGAAATAACGTATTCGGTTATTAATTGATTTTTGATAATTACGTCAGCTAAAATCACTTGGCAGTTAATAAAGCAATATTTTATTATCTATATTCCAAGCTACTGCAATAATTCTGTGATCTTAAATAGTATCTATTTGAAGTTTATAATACTTGGGAACAAATTTCTTTTCTTTGGCTTTAAATTATCTGGAACAGCAATACATGCAATGACGATCTGATGAAAGTAAAAATTTGGTCCTGGAAAAATTCGAGAAATGTTAAAATGCTGGAATAAAGATGACGGTACGGAGGGACCGGGTGAGATCATGGATGGTAACGCGATATGCTGAATCGGGAATGACAAAAACGACAAGAATGCAAGTCGAGAGTTGAAGTCGACGATGATAACGATTCTGCATTCTGGTCTATATACCTGCAAAGGTATATACCTGGATTCTAAAACTACTATTTAACTTACGACTATGTATATAGTTATATTCTGATGAGTTGAGAAAAAGAGCACAGTACAGGGACACAATTCTTACTATTATTTTGTTCTTGAAGTATTAGAAGTGATAATTGGAATCCATTCTCTATATTGCTTTACCATACAAAATATTTTAATCAAATAAAATCTTACCGAATCCATCGTATATCGGCAGGAATAAACGGAATAACATGTTTCGATATATGAAAATTATTGATTATAAAAGCATCCCGATCGTAATTTTTGGCCCTTCTTTGCATCAAATTTGCATACAGCTCGGATACAAGCACCACCTAAGATTTTGTTTTCCAAAAAAAGAAATTTACAACTCAAAAGTTCCAAGGATTTTTTAAAGACCGCAGTCTTACGTAATAACAGGAGATGAAGCTGGAAACTATCCATGCTTTCATTATCATTTTCTTGAGAAATATGTTTGAATGTTACGTTGCACTAAATTAACTTGCAGTAAAATTAACAGGGGAATTTTGTGAACTCCTAAAGTAGGCTTCTCTTTGAACCAAATCAATCCAATAATATTCTATAAATTGAAATGGTTACTTCCACAATTACAAGCAAAAGATAGCAATTTCAGGAAATCAGAACAGTACCTTCCCACCAACGACGGCTAATGCGGAACGAGCGTCCTGTATTTTCCTGCCGAAATAATGAATTTTCCGAATATATTGTACGCCGACCAAATCAATACACATTGTCGTGATCGCCAAACCTAAGAATAATTACCTAACTGGAATTTTCATTCAAATCAATCACCTAAGATGAAATACCAAATACAGAAATTAATTCTCGCAATATCAGCTAGAGAAATTTTCGCCCTTTTTAATTTTTATTTTTGTATGAATGATACTTTTATTTATATCCATAAAATAAATTTAGTCCTCTTACTATAGGTATTCATTTGTCATTAATATCCATGTTTGCATGAGCTAAAACGAACCTAAAATAATATAAAGTAAAATGAGGTACATATAACCATCTCTTCGGGGCATCAAATCACCAAAACCAACCTGAAAAAGTAAATTTGTCATCTTTCTGGGGTTTATAAGATGATATCCAAATACGAACAAAGTTATAAAAATGATTGTGATTGAGAAGGGAAAAAAGAGCTCACAGTGGTCATAGTAATAAATGACCAATAAAATGCAGTGAAAAAACTCCACGGTTCCAAATTGGACATCAGTACACCTCCCAGGGATGTGTATGCAACAAGTATTACTAATACCAACATCGCTGGTATCCTGTAATTGATATTTACTTAACTTTAGAACAAATGATAACGTGGCGGAAAACAAAAGATCCATTTACAGAATGTAATAAAAGACGCTGTTTAAACTTTTTTATAATATGAAGGCATTAATATTAATAATAACATTAAGGTGGGAAACAGTTTTATTGAATCAGAATACCAAATTACTTTTTGAGAATCTCGCACTATGATAAGGATAGCACTTGTCATAGTTTCCATGATAAGAAGATTAACGAATAATACAAACCGATGGTATTTACCTCTGTTCTTCAATAAAATGCATGTCAGTACTTAGGCCCTGCCTTTGACATTGTTCACACACTCTTTCCCTGTGACCTTTGCTCCAATGTCGCCTTTCTAACAAGAAATGCTTCAGTTTGAGGTAGTTACCATACATCCACACCAGATGTTCACTTAAAAATTTGCCAATATCTGCTATGGTCACTAGTGTCAAAGGTATGCCAAATAATGAAAATACAATGCACATAATGCGACCCAACTGTGTTACCGGTACTGGATTACCATATCCTAAAACAGGAAATTAGTTATTAAATTAATAAATAACTAAGTGAGTGAAAATTCTGAAGCAAGTAGTGGAAGATAAAAGAAATATTTCTAATTTATTCAAAAAAATTAAAACCTCACCAATAGTGGTAACAACAGTAACAGCGAAAAAGATAGCAGTAGAGAAAGACCATATTTCGATAGTGTCATTAGCACGAACTTCGGCAGCAGTTAGGAAGAATTTTTCAAAGGCGGTGAAAAGATGATCGCTCATATTATGCATGTGCTGCTTGGTTACTTGAGACCATACTTCACGTCGAGTTTCATTGAGCATTGCCAAGGTAAACAATGAATTCACGAACTCTTCCTGCCGTTCGTATATCATATCCAACTAAATATTCAGTAGAGATTGATTATGATCCTCTGAAGATATTCATAATAACTTATCAGGATCATGATTATAAACAGTAATTACCCTTCAGGAGTAACTATCATTATGTTCAATAAAACAACAACTTTAATATCCATCCTGCTTGTCACAATCACAAGACGTAAGTTTATGTGAATAGTACTACAAATGAATGTCGTACGACTTCATTTTAGATCACATCTGGCTTGTTAATATTGAATAGTAAAATCTCCTAATATTTACCTGTCGCCTTTTG